GGAAAGCAGGCACCACCTGGCTCTTCCTGCCTCTTCTCTTCCCCTCTCCTTTGTTTCTGGGCTCAGGGAAACCTTGCTGTAGGAGATAGGAGGACAGAAGGGGCCCCAGCAGGGTCTTGATTTAATGAAACACATCAGTTAATGTGACACCATACTTTCCCCAAACATAAGATCCGAAAAGCTTCTCTCCTGTTGCCAGGAATTCTTCTATCACCCCGCTGTCCTCCTTGGCGGCCTCAATCAGGCAGGGCTCCGCCCACACCTGGCTCCTAAGGGCAAGGGCACAGGGAAGGAAGACGGACATGTGGACACCACCACAGGGACTCACACCTGCAGAAAACTGGCCTCAGTCCAGTCCTGGAGCCAATGAATGTGACAGTGTGGTCAGCCACAGAGACAGGAGACAGGAGATCAGACCACCTACACAGTCCCAGGGACTGCTCCCTACACTGGGGACATAAACCCAAGAGTCTCCTGGGGATGGAACAGCCTCATCTGGATCTAACCCCACAGTGTGTTCAGGGTGCAGCTGCTGTGCTAAGTGACAGTCTCAGGAAGTGACTTCTGCTCTCCCAGCCTGTGTGTTTTTTTTGTTGTTTTGTGTATGGTACCAAGGACTGAACCCAGGGCCTCAGGCATGCCAGGCAAGTGCTCTACCTCTAACTGAGCTACAGCCCCAGCTCTCCCAGCCTGTTTTCTTGTTTGCCACACAAGTGCTAAAGGCAAACCAAGACAGCATCCAAAAGGCCTTACACAGTAACACAGAGTAAATGGTAGTTTCCTTCCTATTCGCAGGACAGATAAAGAGCTCTAAGGACAGAACTGCTGGAACTCAAAGAAACCTTAAAAGACACACCTAGTAATTAATGTTAATGGCAAATTGCTAATTGTCTTTGGTGCAATAATCAGGGAGACCCTCCCTGGCTTACTTTTAAAAGATCTAAAACAAAACCCCATATCAATAAAAGTAGTATGACAAAATGGGTGGGCACAGAGCCGTTCCATGTATCGGATTTCCAACTGTCTATACATTGGAAATTTTCATGATTAACAGACAGAGAAACAAAGGTAAGGGGGAAATTAACAGAAATATCTGAGAAGATCCGGTTCACCTGAAAACCAAGGCTTCCAGGTACATGATTAGACCCAGACCATTTACGACTCCAAGGAGGAGACAACCCCAGAATTCAGGGATCCTGAAACCAAATCCAATACCCTGACCTTGTATGAGCCATCGGACCAGAGCCTCGGATGAGGAAGCCTCTTTCACCAGTTAAGATTCTGTACCTACTTTGGGTTACCACGTTGTCATTTTCCCATAGATGCTTCAAAAAAGTTATTACCCAGTATGTCTGGAACCTGCTGTTCTCCCATCACCCATTAATTATTTATGTTCTTAATAAGAGAACTAAGTAAGGGTAAACACATGCTCAAAAGAACATTCCTGGGCCGGGAATTTAGCTCAGTTGCACTGCGCCTGCCTCGAAAAAGCAAGGTCCCGAGTTCGATCCCCAGTACCAAAAAAACCCCATTCCTTTTTTACCTATTTTCTTGTCTATTGCAAAGATGACAACCCTTAGGTTATCTACGGCCAAGCCTACCAGGAAAGGGTTACCACCTTGTCTTTCATGACTGGCATTGTGGGGTCTTTGAGGTTTTGTTTTTTGGTTTTTTTAGAAAAACACACTGCCTGTGTGCCGAAGGCAGATGCATTCCAGTGGAATCCCATCTGTTATTCCATCAGATACTGGGGAACCAGGGTCATGATGCCAGCAGTGCCACTGAGCCCGGTTACAGTCTTGGGCTTGTAATGTCCCTCGTCAGGGCACCACCACCTCCAGGAACTGAGAGCAAGGCAGAGGTAAGGAACCGAAACAGGTCCAGGAGAAGGGTCTCAGCTTTGCAGTCTGACCTTTGATTCCTTCACAGTAGGGTCAAACCATGGTGGCAGCCAGGAAAGACCTGGCCTAGTCTAATTCCTTGTCTCAGGAAACCTTGCGAGAAATCCCTTTTTCAGAGAGGCATCCTCTCCCTGTAAGTTTAGATTCATGTATCTGCAGCAGACAGAAAGGAGAGAGAGTCTCTTTCATCTTTAGAGGGAAAAGCTGAGGGCAAAGTTGTGTATTTCCAGGAATTAAGTGCTAGAGAAAATGAGACTTGGTACAAAGATTTTTAAAAAGTGAATACAGCTCCGAAATGGACCTTTAGAACTCAAAGATGTTGCCGATCAGGCTCAATCTCCTAAAATCATCACCTAAGCCCTAACATGGTTCAACAAGTTGGCCCAGGAAGGAGGCCATTACCAGCAGGACTGGTGATCTCATTTCGGGCAGCAGGATTAGAACTCATTTCCCTCCTCCTTTTCCTCCTTGGTCCCTTTGCGTGTGGGGGTCTTTGTCTCCTACCTGGGTCCAACTTCCACCGAAACCAGGTCTCCCACAGCCAAGGCTATCAGATAGGAGGGGAAGAAGAACTGATTTGGACCTGTCTTCTCCCGGGTCCATGCACTCATCACAGCTGTGAAGCCATCGGGGACCTGGCAATAAAGCAAGCTTAGGTCTTCCCCGAGAGGCCCCCTCTGAGCAGCCTGAGGGGCAGTGCGACCAACATATCTTTTAAGGATATAACACTGATTGAAATGGGACCTAATAGACTAGAAATTATATATTTTATATATCCACATATAAAAATATGTACATGATATATATGCAGTTGCTTTGTTTGGATGGGGGTCTCACTGTGTTGCACAATCGGAGCTCAAGTGACTCCCCTGCCTCAGCTTCCCAAGTGGCTAGGACTGTAGGTGCCTGTGCCACTGTCCCTAGATTGAATTCTAATCCCAATGGCAGGGGCACCTACCCTTAGACCCCTTACCTCCACAAGTATTGAGGAGCTGTCGAAGCACGGGAAGAAAGCCCAGGTCAGGACAGCTTGGCCCTGGATGTAGACAAAGGGCTTCTCCTTTCCCTGCTGTCTCCTCAGGAGCCAACCAGGTAACCTAAGGGGACAGAAGAGCACTCAGAGCCCAGCCCTATTCGAGCCCAGGCCAGTGGAGGAGGGAGCTGGTGGCACGGGACATTTTCAGATGATTCTTAAACTCTCTGCCAGCCAGTTTGGCTTGGACTGGAAGGTTCTTTCCTGCTGTGTATTTATTTACCACCCCAGAATCCATGCTACGCATGACACCTTCCTCCTGGGGCACAGCCACCACAAAGGGTCCCCTCCTCCCTGTGTCCTCTGGGTCATCTCAGGACTGCCACACCTGGCCCTTGACACTGTCACTTTGTCCACCTCTGTGTCCTTCCCACTTGGTAAACATAAACTGAAGATACTGTGATAAGACTCAGAGAAGCAGAACAAAACTCGGAGTCCCTTCCTAGGCTTACTTTTTCCCAATAAATATATCTTATATTACAGGCACTGGCTCTATGATTCTTGTTTTGAAGGGCGAGGGGCCTCACTGCTGCCAAAGCTGGCCTCACACAGGGCTCCAATCTCCGCCTGTCAGGGGCTGGTCCTCCAGGTGTCCGCCACGTGCCCAGAGCCTCCACGATTCTTAATTTGTTTTCCATTAACCCTTAAACCAAGGGAAATCCGAACAATTACAACAAACTTAGTTTTACCCACAGCAAAAGGAGAACAACACTGATATAGGAGGTGGTTAGCAGCAAATACCATTTAGAGTTTAGAAACAGACTATTACTCCAAGAAGGCTTCATAGGTGAAGCAAAAAACCTCTCCAGTTGAATCTTCCAAGGTGAGCAGTGTCAGATAAATGAAAAGGAAGGGAAAAGCCATTCTTGTTTTGTTTTTTTGAGACAGGTTGGCCTTAAATTCACTATGTATTCCAGGCTAGCTCAAACTTGTGGTGACCCTCCTGCCTCAGCCTCCCTAGTGCTGAGATTGCAGCATGAATCAAGAGGAAAAAGCCATTCTTAAGGACAGGAGGAGACAACCATCTGAGTGAAGGCCCAAGGGGATGAAGGCATGGAAATTGCTGGCAGGCTCTGGATACAGTGGTGGGAGCAGGCCTGGGCAGGTATAATGAAGGGCTTTGAATACAGAAGCATCTGAGACCTATTTTTTTTCTTTCTCTCTCTTTTTTTTTTTTTCAGTACTGGGGATTGAACTCAGGACCTTATACTTTCAAGGCAGGCGCAGCACTAGAGGTAAATCCCAGGCCCTATCTGAGACCTATTTTTAAAGAAGTACAAGGAAGCTACACTGGGATGCTGGGTCGTTTTTTTTTTCGAGACAGGGTCTCACTATAGTTCAGGCTGGCCTCAAACTTGCAGTGATCCTCCTGGCTCAGCCTCCCTAGTGCTGGGATCACAGGTGTGCGCCACCATACCCAGCAGTTGGGTGGTTCTTTACTTGAGTTTTTGTTTGTGTGAAAAATTAATCAGTCTCAAAAAAAAAATTAATCAGTCTCCATCCAACAAAGACAGCACAGTACTGGGGGATGGTAACTTTATAGTAGAGAAAGGGGACAAACACTACTTCAGTGGGTGACCGAGGACAATACCAACAGTCAGAAATCATGCTAGTAAAAAAAAAAAAAATGAAAAAGGAATCACGCCGATAGCACACGAGAACAGTGCCTTACCTCTGAATTTCCACTCAACACCCACAAGCCCAGTCCACTCAGGAGAACATCAGACAATTTCTGCTAAAGGGGCATCACACAATGCCCCTGACCTCCTACACCTCCTCCAAATGGTCAAGGTCATGGCAAACAATCGAGGTTTGGAGAATTGTCACTGGCTCATTAGCTGTGACAGCTGCATCACACTTCCGTGGGTGTTAATTGGAAAACCGAAGGGGGTGTCCAGCAACTCTGGACTTTCTGCTTAATTTTCCTGTTACTTTTTAAAAAGTACAATCCATTAATTTTTAAAAAATGAGCTGGCAATAGGAGCTCACACTCCTCAGAGCACTACTGACCGAGAGTCCACCCCTCCTCCAAAATGCCTTTCACTTTGCCTGAGTTGTGGCTATTTTTGTTTTCAATGATGGGAAGACGATGGGATAAAGACGTCTGACAGCACGTGCACTAGAGAAGCATCGGTAGTGACTAAGAGCCTCTGTCAGGGTGGTGGCCGTGTGAGTGGAAGGAGCACACGCAGCCTGAGACTTCGCAGGGCAGAGGAAGCTCCACCGGGGCAGACCCCTGCCACTGCATCACACGGAAGCTGCTCAACTGTGCTGCTGGATGCGAGGTGCCATGGTCAGCAGGCAAATTTAGGGAGGGTTTAATTTTTCTGTTAAATTTCCAGTTCCTGTCAGAAAAGCTGGCACCAGAAACAGAGCAACCCAAGACATTTACAGATGTTTCCTACTGGCCTTGGAGCCTAGTCTGCATCACGTGCTTTAGTCTTGGCCTTTTCAAACAAGTTCTTCATTCATTTTTCTAATAAGTTCCATCACAAGATTCACTTATTCCTCCCAGGGCTAAAGATGGAAAAGAGAACTGCTCTTTGGGCCAGTTATTAAAGTCTTTCTGGTTCTGTCAGGCATGGTGGCACATGCCTGTAATCCCAACACTCAAGAGGCTGAGGCAGGAGGATTGCTTTGAGTTCAAGGGCAGCCTGGGCTACAGTCAGTTCAAGTCCAGCCTGCACTACAAACCAAGACCTTGTCTCAAAAAAAAAAGAAAAACTTTTTTTTTTTGGTACCAGGGATGAAACTTGGGTCCTTGTCTTTGTGAGGCAGTCGGGGGAACCACTGAGCTAAATCCCCAGCCCAGAAACTTTTTTTTGAGAGAGGGTCTTGCTAAGTTGCCCAAGATATTTTCCAACTCAGGATCCTCCTGCCTCAGCTTCCTAGTGCTGGCGTTATAGGTGTGTGTGTGCCACCCCCTGGCTCTGCAGGCCAGTTCTGAGAGCAAAAGTGAACTGCTAGCTACGTAAATCAGTTTCAAACTTTTTGGTTTTGGAGACAGGGTCTCAACATGTAAGTTCAGGCTGGTCTTGAACTACCTGTGTAGCCCAGGCTGGCCTGGAACGCATGGTGGTCCTCCTGCCTCAGCCTCTTGAATGCTGGAATTAGTCCTGTACCATGCCAGGCTGATAAGCCAGTTTCAATGGTTGGCAAGCAGTTTACTATGCAACTTGTAACTCTCCCTATCTGAAAAATCCTAGCAGCCAGTCTAAGGCCTCTCCAGGAAGAATTATCTGACTCTTTCAGATGAAGGCCACATAATCTTCCACCCTATTTCCAGTATTTACCCCTGCTCTGAAAAACTTAAGATTTAAGAGCCGGGTATGGTGGCACATGTCTGTAATCCCAGCACTGGGGAGGCTGAGGAAGGAGAGTCGCCGTGAGTTGGAGGCCATCTTGGGCTACCTAGTGAGCTGGAGGTCAGCCTGGACTACATGGTGAGTTCAAGGCCAGCCTGGACTACATGGTGAGACCCTATCTCAAAAAAGCCAAAAACCCCAAAACAAAACAAATGATTTGGGTCAGCCCACAGTGAGGAGGCCAAGGTTTTAGAAAGCCTAGAACACTGATTCCAGCTCTCTACTCTCATTCAAATTCTTTTCCACAAATCCAGGACTTCCTAAGAGGAAACAAAAACAAGGACCTGGGCCTCAGGGTTCTTTCGGCCTGTGGATCTAGAAAAACACACAGAATAAAGGTCTGAGTCAGACCCAGGCAGTTAACCAGCACTGTCCAGGGCCATAGAGCAGAACAAAGGAGCTGATCCTCAGGGCCGTTAAGCCCCAAAGTCCCGGGGCAGCCCTTAAGTTCGGCGTGGGACAGTCCCCGACGCAGAAAGCCGCGCAGGACCCGGGGTGGGGTGCGAGCCCGCGGAAGGCCGGAGGCCGCAGACCAGCTCCTGCAGCGGCCAGGGAAGATGCCTGGACCAGGGGGCGCCCTCGGCGGCGGGGGGGGGGGCTGGGCGCGGGCTGTCAGAGCCCCGAGGGGACCCGGCCCGGGCAGGGGTGAAGGTCTCTTCTAAGCCCCGGGCGGGGTGAGCGCGGCCGAAGGGCGGGCGGCAGGAAGCGGCGGCCAGACCGGGGCACTCACCCGGGGCCCTCCCCGCCCGACACCGAAGCGGAGCAGCTGCTGGAAGCGCCGCGGTGCGGGAAGTCTCGCGTGTGGAAGGCACCGGCTGGGCGCACGGCTCCTCGAAGTCGGGCGGCTCCCGCCGCAGCTCGGCCGCCGTCAACCGGAGGCACGGGTGCGAGTGGAGCCGCAGCTCGGAGGCGCCCTGGGCACAGGCAGCGCAGCTGCAGCACCGCCGCGCCGCTCAGCCCGCGGTACGGGGCCCGAACTTGACCTGCAGATCCAGGTGTAAGTGGAGCATCTCGAAGACCCGCAGCCGTCCGCGACCCAGTTCCCTCGCTCACCAAGGCAACTGCCGGCCCGACTCACACGGCGGAAGCCCCGCCCCGCCCCCGAGACCCCCGCCCCGCCCCCGAGAGCTCCCGCCCCCGCGCCCGTAGCCCCGCCTTTCTATCGCGTGCACGTACCGCAGGACTTTGGCCCAGGGAGCAGTGGGGTGGATCATTTTCTTCCTGCACCTGTAGACTAGGCGTCATGCTGCATCCCTATTTCACCCGGTAATTTGTGAGAATTCAATCAGGGACTGTGTCTGGCGCACTTGGTAAACAACAAAACCCTGTAGAGCTCCCGGCCGCTGCCTCCTCGCCAGGGACTTCAGGACGATTTTCCATCCTTGCGCGGCCCAGACGCGGAGTCAGCCCCGAAGTTGGCTGCCCATCGGTCACTCCTGTTGCCCTTGCCCTGTCGTACAGTGTCCTGAGCTAGCGACCTCACTTCACTGCTTCTCTTCTGTACCAGTCGATGATAATGACATTTCCGTGAATAGATCAGCTAGAAAAATCAGATTTGTAAAAACAATGTAGGGAGTTTTTCGTGAACCGAAACAATATCCTATTCTGGGCTTCCTAGTTTTATAGCATTCAAACATATTTTATGGAATGATTGTGTTAGATGATTTTTTAAATTCCATGTAAATTCAGTGTCAAGTTTTTTCTGCTTTGTGTGGGGGGGGGTTACTGGGGATTGAACCAAGGCCTTTGCACTGAGCTATAGTTCCCCATTTTTTTTTTGAGACGGTCTTGCAAACTCACTACGTTGCCCACGCTAAGCTCTAACTTGCTGTCCTCCTGCCTCAGCCTCCCAAAGTGCTCGGATTTTAGGCATATGCCCCCATGCCCAGCGCAGGTTTCTTTATAACTTCAGAAACTTTGGGAAACCGCTTTTCTATCATCTTGAGCATAGTGCTCGGTACTGTCTGACACTCGATACACCTGCCTTGAAGTTACTTGTTCTCTGATGGAATACACTTTCGTTGAGCATCTACTGTACACCAGCAGTTAAGCTGAGTGCCAGGAATACAACCAGAATAAGCCGGGGACAGATCTTGAGAGGTTCACAGTCCAGCACACACACCAGAAGGCAGGCCATGCCGATTCCATGTTCTGTGATCACACCTGGGAAGGAGAGGGTGTTCTGGGAGTACAAGGGGGAGACAGCCTGGTCTTTGCATCAAACATTGCTGGAGGAAGAGAATGTGATCCATGGTTAAAGGGTACAACCTTTTTGGAGTTATGACACTTCTTCTTCTTCTTTTTTTTTTGGTACCAGGGATCGAACTCGGGTCCTTGCGCTTGCTAGGCAAGCGACGGAACCACTGAGCTAAATCCCCTGCCCAACACTTCTTTTTGTGGTGACAAAAGGGTTACAGTTCTCAGTGCCAAACTTCTTTGTAACACACTTCTGCCTAGCACATACTGGGCAGTCGTGAAGCACTGCACTAATGAGGACTAAAGACAGCCCAAGATATACAAGTAAATACAAAAACCATTCTTTCCTGCCTTGAGCTAATGTTGTGTCTTTCTCAAAAAGGTTAAAACACACAGACGCCCTTATGTAAGCCTAAAGAGCCTTTTGTGAGGCCTAAGTGCCGGCCTTGACAATTTGCAACTTTGATGTCCCACTTTAGTTCCAATATAGATGTCCTGCAGGACCAAGCAGCAAAGGACAGGATGCTCTGGAAATTCCTTTTCTAAGATATCTACATTTGCCAACTCAGACTGTTTCCCACATCTTCATTCTCTTAAAAAAATCCTCATCTTTCACCATGGCTGTGGGTTCCTCTCTTGGATACTCACCCACTGTCCCTCTCGATAGTGTACTCAGTGATTAAACAAACTCTTATCTTTCCTACATCCCTTGTCTACTTATAGGTTCTTTTTACCACTCACACTACCAGCCCTCTCTGTGCCTCCTGGCATGGCACTTTATCCTTAGCTTCTTGCTAGGAAGGTGAGGAAGCTCATTTTTCCAGTGTCTGGTTGGCCTCAGGTGTGGGCTGTAGATGGTGCCATGACAATGCTCAGCACAGAGTTTCAGGAGGTCTCAGTATCAAGGAGACGTTTGGGGCACAAACCAGCCTCTCCACTCCTCCAGTGGGCTTTCATTGTTTTTTTCCTTTTAAATGATTAGAATGTAACACATCTTGGACATTTCAAAATAATGGCCAAAAAATTCCAGAAAGGCACAATTCTAGAAACATAAAAGTCATGATAAAGTCCAAGCAAAATAAAAACTATGTATAGACATGTTATTTAAATCAAGGAACATTGAGACATAAAGATGTTAAGAGTGGTTAAAAAAAAAAGTTTATAAAAGAATGACTTTTAGGGCCAGGGATTTTGCTCAGTGGCACCCCACCTGCCTTGCAAATGCAAGATCCTGAGTTCAATCCCCGATACCCCCCCCCCAAAATGATTTTCAGTGGCACATACATATAATCCCAACACTCTGGGAAACTGAGGCAGGAGGAGTCCAAGTTTGGGCCCAGCCTAGGCAATTTAGCAACTTAGGAAGACCTTCCTTGTCTCAAAAAAAAAAATGCTGCAAACAAAAGTTTGAGACCTTGACTCAAAATAAAATTTGAAAAAGGGCTGGGGATATAACAGGAAAACATGGCGGCAGGAAGGGAATAAGTCACCTATGCCTGCAGGAAACCTCAGCTGCAGAGGAGGTGGCCTAGGGACCCAGTGATTCTGAGACTCATCAGAGCCACATTTGCCCCCCTGCCAACTCCACACCAGTAGATTCTGTGTCCTGGCCATGTCTGCCACTCAACTCTGAGCCCACTCTATGTTTTATTTCTCTTCAACATGGCGCAGCAGCAGTGCTGATCAACTACCTGACCTGATCATGGATGAGGCCAGTGGCTGGGGAGAGAAAAGTAAGCCCCAAGCATCAGCAGCTCCAGGGAGAAACAGTGGACCAGGCCAGCACCACTAGCCCCAAGAAAAGGCCGTGGCTATTCCAAACTGCAAAAACAGTATGAGTTTTTACTCCAAAAGCGATGCCTTCCACACAGCAGGCTAGAGTTGGAGAAGAAATCCAGGGCCACACCTGTCATATTTGAGAGCCATTTTGGGAAGGCGTTAATTGTTTAAGACTGAGCCAGACCACAACTACAGAACAACTTCAGAGTTTCCTGTGTTACCTACCACAATGGCTGGACGAGAGACAGCCAGAAGAGACAATCATGGTGAGGGTGCAGCCTAGACACAGGCCCCCTGAGAAGTTTAAGTTCAGGCCAGGAAGGTCAAGGAGCTCTGCCCTCTATGGTGAGAAGCCAGGCCTGGTCTGTGGGGCATTCAGAGGTGGCTGGATCTGAAAGTGCTGACATTTAGTCCAGCAGTCGGCTTGAACTCCCATCCCATTGCCTACATGCACCACAGAGACCAGGGTCTGATTGCTTTCCCTAGCTACCAGTGTGAGCAAGGACACAAATAGTTGCCATAGCCTGGGGTGTACAGACAGAGGGGCCTTGGGAGCAGGGTGTGGGTGCATTACAAACCCACAGACCATAAAGCAAGGTAGAGAAAATAGTGACTTGCTGGATTCCATGACTGCAGGTCCCAAAAGAAGCCAAAAATACAGTAGAGACTTTCTGAAAAATGGCTGAGTGGAAAGCAACAACTGAGGCTCTCTGAGATTTAGAATCCAGATACTGGAAAATAATGCCTTGGGGAAGAAGAAAAAAAAGAGAGAGAAATAGATCTTCAGGAACCAGGAAGGAACTGAAAAGAAAATTAAAACCGACCAAGAATTTGAAGAGACAGAACACAACATAGAGAAAGGAAGGGACAATCTGAACTTTCTCCCTGGCTCCTGGCTTGTGCCTCATAAAAAAGGGAGACTAAATCTACAGAGACAAAATGAAAGTTGGGTGCTCCAGGGGGTTTCAGGGAGAAACACAGCAGTGGAACAGATTGGTGGGTTTTGTGAATTGCAGGGAGAGCACAGGATTCTGCTCCAGTGTGATTCCTTTGACAGGCAATAGCTGGTTAGTAACTCCAGTCCAAGCACCTGTCATATCCCTGGAAAGAGTGCTTGATCTAAGGTCATTCTTGGGAAGGGTTGATTGGTTTGAACCCAGGACTCAGAACAGCTTCGGAACAGCTTCACTCCAGGGCTCTCAGTGTTATGTTCCCACAGTGACTGGGCAAGAGACAGTAACAGGAGACAGCTGCAGTCAGGGAGCCATGGTCAGGCTTGAGAGAGATCTTTGAGGGTTTGAAGGACACAGGCCCTGTCCCCATGGCCAGAAGCCAGGCTCAGCCTGAGTTGTTCTGGTATTTGAAAGTCGTGGGCTTGTGCCCTTCCCCTAATCCTGCAACCTGCTGGTACTTGCATCTAGTACAGATCTGGAGTCGTGAGTAGACTCTGTCTCAAACAACAACAAAGAGAGAGAGAGAGAGAGAGAGAGAGAGAGAGAGAGAGAATGGAAGAAAGAAGGAAAGGAAAGAAGGAAGGAAAGGAGGGAGGGAGGGAAGGGAGGGAGGGAGGGAGGAAGGAAGGAAGAAAGGAAAGAAGGAAGAGAAATGAGTTCAGAGAGGTGAGGCAGTGAAGCCTCTCCCCTTCACAGGAGGGCAGTCATTCATTCCCTCCAGTGTCCAGGGCACACATTACCCAGGAGACCCCGAGAGTCACAGGGAAGGGACAGCCCTTACAAACAGATCAAATGCCAGCATCCTGACAGGAGGCATCGATTTATTGATGTTCACATGAAGCCATCTCCCAGCAGGAAGAACAGGACTCAGTTTCTGAATGTAATAAAATAACAAGGACACCACAGAGAAAGCACTGAGAGTACTCCTGGCAGAAACCTACCTGGCTTTTCTTCTCTGGCCAGAGCATGTGGGTGCCTGGGGCTTTTCCTGCACGCAGACTCCTGGCCCACTGCCACATACCTCCCTCCTGTACCCTGCAGGGTTCCCATCCTCCTCCAGGCCCGCACACCACATGACCTTCTCAATTTACTCGGATGAACCTGCTAGGGTCCTGTCAGTGAGACAAGGTGCGCACACAGGTGAGGCAGAGTGTGGAGATAAAACACCAAGCACCAAAAAGTGGCTTCTGCTTCATTGTCACTAAGTAAACACAGTACTTTTTTATTTATTTATTTATTTTCTAAGAACAGAAAAGTCTTCAATATATATGGCACTGGAAGGTGAAAATATGCAGCTGTGTCCAGTGCAGCTTTCCC